CGCGAGGTTCTTCCAGCCCCCACGCTGGGGGAGGGCAGCCAGCGGCAGGGAAGGATATTTGCACCCAGCCTGCCTCAGGAAGTTTCCAGGGTGCTGGGGGGACCTGGAAGAGAGGGGCAGAGACCCGTCTTGTCCTGACACTGCGGTGTGAGCCCTGGGACCAGGGATCTGGGACGGTGCTGGCTCATCTAGAGCTGGCCGGCTGGAGGGCGTGCGTTTTCCTTCCTGCTGTGGCTGTGGGATGCCCGAGGAAAACATGTCTTCGCCTCCTGCGGAGCCCGTGCTCTCCTCCCGCTTACGCGGTTGTTGATGCTTGAAATACAAAACCTGCTTCCCGGGGACAGCCAGGGCCACCGCGGCATCCCTCCTGCCTATGTGTTCTCCCTTGGCAAGGGTGGTCTGCTGTGCCCAGAGGCGATTAGTGCTGCAATTACCCCCTGCTCTCCCCACCCTCAGCCCCTTGCCGTTGTGCACCCGCCCGCAGCAGCACTGGGGAGAAGGGATGCGAAAGCGGTGGGGTTAAATGCAGCAGGGAAACCCACTCGGGCGACGGAGTTGCCCTCCGTGCCTCCGCTGTGGCAGCGGGGGATCCTGGGAGCTGTAGTCCCAGCTGGAGCTGCGGTGGTACAGAGGCTTTCCTGCCCGCAGCCGCGCAGTTTGGTGGAGGCACGCTGCACGTGCATGGCTCTCCACCGACTTGCTTGTTTCCATAGCTTGCTGCTTCTCCTGCCTCACCTTTTGCTCCCTTTACAGCGGCATTATTTTTTTCCTCCGTCTCTTACTTCCTACTCGGTGGACTTACCTGTCTGTATGCTGGGAGCTATAGACATGCCCACTTTATCTATGCAGAATAGACCTTCTGCAGTAATCCTTCCCAAATCCTCTGCGGACACCACGAAAACCTGCAGCCGAGGGCCGAGACTCCCTAGAGCATCTCTCTAATACGAGCACCGATACTTGCAATATCATTGCAGCGGGGTGACGCTGCTTGAGGACGTGGGGCTCTTTCACCGTGGTGCTTCCCGGCAAGGTTATGGCTCGTGGAGGTGGCTGCACGCTCGTGTGTGCTGGAGTCGCACTGGGACAGCTCTGGGAGCTTTTTTTCCACCCTGGGTTTGAGGGTTATAGACCCCTTCGGAAAGGCTGTGTCCTGTGCTCCCCACAAGTGCCTCTGCTGCACTGCTAAACCCTGAGTTATGCCCTGGGTGGTGCTGGCAGCCCCTGACTTGTGCAAATGCGGCAAAACCGTCGATATAGTTAAATGTCTGTTGTGGGATTGCATGTGCAGGGCTACAGCTGAGGGAGAGCTTGACCCTGGCTTGGGAGCTGTTGAGGTGTAAATGGAAACAGGACCCATCTGCTCCAGCGGTCCCCATTTACTCACCAGAGTGAAAACGTACCAGCTTCCACTTCAGCCTTTAGGAGATAACCTCAGAGCGGGGCTGTTGGCACTGCTCTTGTCCCTGACCCTACTCGGAGGGTGCAGGTGGTGCACGGCAGAGGGGAGGGCTGGTTGCCATGTCCGTATGAGCTGGGGGATGCTGGTGTGGCACAACGGGACGATGCCCCGCGCCTGGCAGTCCTTGTGTGTGCCGTCCCCGAGCCAGCTCTTGGGTGGCGAGCGGCTGCCCCACATCCATACACATCGCTGCTGTCAAACCAAACCATCGCTCGGGAAAGCTCCATTTTTGCTCGAGAAGTTTATGCTGCCTCTTTGTCCTCCCTGTCGAAGGCACCTTCCCTGAGGATGCTCCCTTTTCTCTCGGCAGGATGAAGAGAGCCCAGTTTGGTCCCCACGACTGGCTGTCTCTCCCTGTGCCAGCTGGTTCCAGCTGGCTACTGGTGGATACCTTGGAACCAGAGACTGCGTACCAGTTCAGTGTCTTGGCTCAAAACAAGCTGGGCACCAGCTCCTTCAGTGAGGTGGTCACTGTGAACACTCTAGGTAGGTCCTCCGTGGGCACAAGGGGAGCAGGGGGAAAAGGGATTCAGGAGGTCCGTGGAGAGATGTGGCCCTTTGCCTTGGTCCACGTGTCCTGTCTGCTGGGAACAGAGATGATGGCCAGCAGCCACAGAGCAGATAGTTCATGGAGGGCCCTGGGTAAAGCTTGTAGACTTTGCTGGATGTGTGAGGCTCCTGAAAGCTTGTCCTAAGAGACAGCGTGGGAGAACTGTACCGTACCAGTCACCTTTCAGATCTTCCTTAAGTTCAGCTGGGGTCAGGAGGTATTAATAGACCACAAAACCACTTGCGTGCGGCTCAGAGCAGGAGCTAACACAAAGGGCCTTGCACTGGTACCTGCCTCGGGGCTGTCTCCGGCGGAGGTGGGAGGAAGCAGGAGGTTTTCTAACGCTGTGCTCCTTTTCTTGGAGTCACTGTATCGTTAGTCCCCTGCTTTTTTCAAAAGCCGCTTTCCTATTTCTGAGATAAGAGAGCGCACGTCCGAGATGCGTCCTAAACTCCTGGAAGGTGGGAACTGCCGCTGCCATGGTGGTCTGTCCGCCACCGATGGGGCGCGTGTGGGGAGAGCATCCTCTGCGCTTCCCTTCGCCCCATCTCAAAGGTGCCCCTGTCCCATCTGCTCTATCTCCAGCATTCCCTGTAACAACTCCAGAGCCTCTGGTGTTGGTTACCCCACCGAGGTGCCTAACAGCCAACCGGACACAGCAAGGCGTCCTCTTGTCGTGGCTTCCTCCCGCTAACCACAGCTTCCCCATCGACCGCTACATCATGGAGTTCCGCGTTGCGGAGAGGTGGGAGATCTTGGATGATGGCATCCTGGGGACCGAGAGCGAGTTTTTTGCCAAGGACTTGTCCCAGGTAAGCAGGGGTTGCCCACAGCATACCTCTGGTGTTGCACCGTCTGCTGTAGCTCTGGGAAAGCTTTTAGGGTGGCTCAGTCCCCGTGCTGGGGTCTTCAGGCAGCTGGGCAGGGTTGGAGGTTGCAGTGGGGGACCTGATGGATGTGCTTGGTGTTTCAGGACACCTGGTACGAGTTCCGGGTCCTGGCGGTCATGCAGGATCTCATCAGCGAACCCAGCAACGTTGCTGGCGTGTCCAGTACAGGTAAGGGGTGTCTCTTCCTTCTACCCCCAGCTGTGGGAGCATCTCTGCTTCTGCAGGTACCTGGGCTAGCGCTCGTGTCATGCATCAGTAGTTACGACAGCGATGGCTGGATTTTGTGCTTTTACCTGAGGTGCTCAGGCTGTGAGCTGGGCTGATGGGCGCACGGTTAGGATCAGTGTCCTGGGCACGCTGCTGGCCCCGTGCTGCCTCCCGATGCAAACGGACCAGCAGCACTCGGAGCGGGCGAGGACAAACCACCCTTTAGTCCTTCCCGCGGAGCGCAGTGTTGTCGGGCATCCTCTGGTGCAGAGTGGCAACACATCTCAGCTCTGCAGGGTGCCTGGAGAGCAGAGCTCCGACCAGGCACTGCGCAGCCTGGAAATAGGAATGAAAGGTGCAGAGAGGGAAACGTAGCACTGCAGTGCAGAGTCCAAGGGGAAAAAAGCTTTGCAACGGGCGACTGCAACGCCCTGCAGCTTGCGCATGTACCCTGTGCCCTGGTCCAGCTCAGAGGATGCTCCTTGAGCAAGGGACAGAGACAAAAGCATCTGATTGCCATGGGGAAGGCATGGGCTGCAGAAGGCGATGGGGATGCAGAGCACCCTGCTTTTACGGCTCTCCTGAAAAAGCCGAGGAGCCACCCAGCTCTGCTGCGTGCAGGGATGCAGCGGTCTCTCTCTGCCCCCAAGTGGTGCCGGTGCGGAGAGCCTGCCTGCTGCAGGCTGCCTGCTTGCCTGCCCTTACTCCTCTCGCACCATTTTTCTGATGAGGTTTGGCAGAGCCCGCGGGGCGTGCGTGTGCCCTGGCCCCAGGCAGCTGCTCTCCCAGGCTGAAAGCCGGCACTCCCGGCAGGCGGATGCGCGCTGACCCTGCGTGCAAGTGCCGTGGCAGGAGCGCTGGCGTGTGCAGGGTTTGCATCCGCAAATGGCCGCAGCTAAGGTCTGCTGGCGCTTTGGACGCGCTTGTTGTTAGCGAAGGGGTGCGATGAGGGTTCGGTTCGGAGCCCAGTTTTTGTTGAAGAGGTGAAGTATGTTGCATTGATGCACAAGACCTTATGTTGCTACAGCTTGAACTGCAGCGCGTTATTGGGCCAGGAGATAGCTGCAGATTTGCTGCAGTCGTGTGCACTTGTACCTGAATGTGTATTTGTGTGGCATGGAAGCTTTTCCCCTGGGAACCCGTTGGCCAAGACAAAAAGGTTACCTGCTGTGAGGTCGCTACATCCCTTGGCAGTGGCCTGCAGCAGCGCTGACTGCTCTCCGTGGGTGGGCCGGGCTGGAAGCTGGGTCTTTACTTATTTATTGTCGCTCCGGGTACCAGTTGCCTTCACGCTGTGGTAGGTCCCCGGGGAAGGCAGCAGCAGGCAGGGGTGCGTGCATAACGCCTGATTGTTGTGTTTTTTTCCCCCAGACGTATTCCCTCAGCCTGACCTGACGGACGAGGGTCTAGCCCGCCCAGTGCTGGCTGGCATCGTTGCCACCATCTGCTTCCTGGCTGCTGCCATCCTCTTCAGCACACTCGCCGCCTGCTTCGTCAACAAGCAACGCAAACGCAAGCTCAAGCGCAAGAAAGGTGAGCCCGTCCCCGGTGCGCTTCCTTCCTCCCTCCCTCCTCCTCCTCGTTTCTCCTCCCTGGTCGTGTTGTGGTGGTAACCTTCTTCCCTGTCTGTCTCTTCTTCCGTCCGTGCGCGTCCTCAGGTGAAGCCCTGACTTCATCCCTCGGCTGTGCCTGAAAGCGCCCGTGGTCGGGAGCGGGAGAGGCAGGGTGGGTGAAGAGGCGACAGAGAAACTAGCCTGGGATTTCCGAGGGAGCGCTCTCGCGTGGTGATAACTCCTAGAGCTGGGGGGTTTAGGGCTGGGGTGTTCTCTGGACCAGAGATGGGGGGGACCGTTCACCTCCTCAAGGTCCCCCCGGAGCTGGGCTCTCCAGCTGCTTCCTGCCCAGCTCTGCCCAACCCGGAGCGGGCAGTGCCCGACGGCCGTGCTAGGCTAGAGAAGACCCCCGCAAAGGAGACCCTTGCTGCTCTGCTTCCCGAAAGCTGGGACTGCAGCTGCCATGCAGGAGTGGCCGGTAGGGAAAAGGGCAGCCAGGGAGCCGGAGAGGGCAAGGGAATCGGCTCCTTCTCCTCTAGCCTGCGAGTCTGCGGCAGCAGGACGGGCAGGACCCTGTGACGGGAGCTGTTTGTTGTCAGCAACCATTAAAGCACTGGAGCAATGAAACCTTGGCCTCTTGTTGAGTGTCTTTTGTGGTCTTGATGTTGAGTTTGTCTTGTCTCTGTCGTGTTGCGTCTCCTTAGCGTTCTCTCTTCTTTCCCCTTTTTATTCTCTTCCAGACCCTCCTCTCTCGATCACCCACTGCAGGAAGAGTTTGGAGTCCCCGTAAGTATCTCTTAGATGTGGCACCAGGCTGTGGGTCTTCAAGGTGATTCCTTCCTACAGCTGTTGCAAGGCTCAAATGGAAATGTCTGACCTTGTTTGGTTGTTTTTGGTGTTCCCTGAACTTGTGGGAAGACAGCAGTTCACAAGAGACAAATGGGCTTTGGAAAAGAAAGCAGGAGGGACAAGTGCAGCAAGCCTTGAGCTAAGAGACAACCCCGTGGATCTGTGGACATTGAACAAAGCTGGAGTCGACTAGTGGAACTCAGTTACACAGCCAGCTTGAAGAGGCTCCTTAGGAGAAGGGCTAGCCTGCTGCGTATGGAGTCCTTCGTGCAAGCTCAGTGTAGTTCTTGAGTCATTCCCTGTTGGCTCTGTTTTTTTTCTTGGGAAATTCAGAGAACCTTACACACATATCTCTTCTTTTCCCATGAAGAGTGCCCCGCTGAAGCATCTTTCCACATGTGCCCAAAGGTGGCGGGTCGTGGTGCTTTAGAGCCCATCAAAAGGACGTATAGCCGCTAAACAGCGGGAGCATCTTCCTGATGTGAGCGCGGGAGTCCGAGATGTGGATGCCTCATGCTTTGGCTCCTGGACTGTTACAAAATGTCCCAGTACTGGTGGATCTTAATCTTGCTGGTTTCGGTTCATCCACTGTGCTGAAATAACTATGCCTGCATCATCTCTGTTGGATCTGCTGCCTTTTGCCCTGCCATCCTGTTTGTCTGAGGCTTTCTGGATAGGGGGATGAGTGAACTGTTCTGATTCTTTCTGCCTTTTGAGGCACTTGGCCTTAAATTTGAGTGTTCAGAGCAGGGGAGAAGTTGGTTTGGAACGATCTGTCAGCATCCAAGTGAGATAGTGTGTTCTGCAGGAGGCGACGTTTGCCTGGCGTCGCTCCTCTCAGGGCCTTTCCTGGGTGTGGATAGCTCAGGTTAATGTAGGAGACTTCTGAAGGAGTTGGAAGTGAGCTCTGGGTCTTGTCTTTTGTCCACTGGGGCCATGGAGCTTATTGCAAGATGTTGGTGGAGCTTGTTGCAAGGCGTCAGTGGGAGCTGCCTGCCCTGGGGGAGACGCCGTGCGTGCCAAGCTCCGCTCCTGAGGAGTGGGGATGATGTACCGTGGCCAGGCAAGGCTCTGCTGTCCCGGTTAGCCCCCCAGATTTCTCCCAGTGGTTCCTCTTTTGGGAGCTGGTAGCACTTTGTTTTCTGGATCCGGCCAGTGGTTCTTCTGGGCGAGAGCAACTCCTTTCCCCTCCGGGTGACCGTCCCCTCTCTCGGTTTTTCTCCCCTGTGGTCCAGGTTGTCTTCCGGCAAGGTGAGTCCCGAGAGCATCCGCACACTTCGTCCCCCCTCAGAGTCCTCTGACGACCAGGGCCCGCAGGCCAAGCGGATGCTGAGCCCCACCAAGGA